AAGCAAATAGGAGTTAACCAGGTACAGGAAGGTGGGGAGTGGGAAGGCGGAGGTCCTGGTAGAGTGTTTTCCTCAAAGGGTTGGGTGGGGACAGGTGAAGAAGTGTGTACGTGTGGAAGTGTGGGTCAGTGTGCCATGTCAGAGGAGCGGGGGTCGGGGAGTGGGAAGGGAGGAGACTGCAGACCAAGAAGGTTCTTATTGGCCATGATAAGGAATTCTGACTTTGCGCTTAAGACAAAAGAAGCTACGGAAGACCTTTTTAGCAGAGGAGGTGAAGTGACCGCCCCTTTGGAAGATTGCGCTAGCAGCAGGAGAGGGTGTGAGCCTGGAGTCAGGCAGATTCAGTGGGAGCGACGGTCCTTGTCTTGTAGGGAACTGTGACCCCTAGTCTGAGCCGCTGGCTGTTGCAGGGAAGACACAAGATTCAAGAGACATGTAGGCAGGTGACCCCTAAGAAATATCTGTCGGGTTTCTCGGTCTGGGCCCTCGTCCCTCCAACATGGATTGTCACAGTGGCCTCTCAGGCATCTTCTTGTCCTCCCTTCCTCCTCTTTCATCAACAGGACTCCATGGTGTTGCCTTGTCACCGCCTCTGGGTCAGGGCTCTAAATTGCAGATAACACTGTCCACTGGCCTGTTTAAGCGGGAAGGGATACACTTGTGGGTAGAGAAAATGCAGAGAATCATTGCCAACTGAAGAAACAGATTCTAGGCAGGCCTTTATGGAGGAACTCCCAGCACTTCCGGCAGAACCGCTTACCAAAGAAGCTGCCACCACTGCCATCGTCAGGAACTGGCCACCTTCACCATCTCCTCCACAGCCAGGCCACGGCCCTCTGAACCCGCAAAACATGACTCAGGCTCCGCCTCATCCACCCTGTAACTCTGCTAAGCCCTCTGAACTGCCCAGTTAAACAGCGAGTTTGCCCTTCCGGGCAATGGAAGCTGGGAAATGTAGGTTGTTTTTGTTTGTTTGTTTGTTTGTTTAACATGTAAAAGTTTTTTTATTGTATTTAATATCCCAAAGAATAGTTAAACAAATATCCTTATAGTTAAATTTTACTTATTTACTTATATCCATGACTATTTCCTCAGATAAATCTCTAGCAATGGCATTGCTGGACTACCAAGCATGTCCATACGTAAACTATTGCCTGTAAGAAGTCATATCCATTTATATTCTGATCACTAGTGTGCGAGAATGAGAAATGTAGTTTTGGTTGGTCTCTGATGGACGGTAGGTTTTACGTGAAGGATTAGAATGCAGGCAATATCCAAAGGTTTTGGGGAGCCTCCGACGATGATTGCCACCACGTGGAGAGTCTGGCACCATGGTTCTCTTACATCATTTACGGCTCACAACGGCACCACCCAAGGCATTTCCTGCTCACTCACAGATGGAGAAACTGACTCAGAGAGGCTAATCAGTTTGCCTGAGATCACACAGCAAGCAGTTGGCTGGGTCCGTATATTTAAACCTAGCTTTGTCTGTCACCAGAACCTGTCCTTTCCCCACTGTATTCACAGAATTACAAGATGCCAGTTGTTTATTACGGTGATTAGGAAACCACTGTTTCTTCTGACCGTCCGGATTATTTTGCCCGGTGTGGCTGGACCACGAGGGCAGCCAGCAGCCACTTGTGGAGAGGTACCTTGTTGGCATGCCTGGGCAGGGCTATGCTGAGCCATCTGTGAAGTCGGGCTGCCTCCTTTCCGAGTTGGCCTTGTTACCGCACAGCTTACGCTGCTGCTCTGGGCAATAATGGCAGAAATACAATCGTTAAATTTTAATTAGGAAGAAACAAGGTTCATTATTAGTTGTCATTCCTCATTGTTTCCTAATTATGCTCATTGCATGATAAAATGAAATACTACATTTCACTCGCATTGTTCTTGCTCAGGGCTGATGGAGAAGAAAGACATATCCTGATTCTCGCTCCTCCTCCCCCTGCCTCTTCCCTCCCCTGAACTGCCCCTCCATGCGCTCCAACTGAATAGCCAGGTGGTGAAAAGGGAGGATTCCTGGAGTCAGAGTAGCCTGGGCTTGAACCCTGTCCCCGCCATTTATCAGAGGTCAGACCGTTTACCATATTGGGCTTGCTTTTCTTTTCATAAAATGGAGATCATAAAACCTTCATCCTGGGGTTGTCATGAGGATAATGTTACATAAAATAATATTCCACAAATGCCTGGCACATGAGAGATGTTTCAGTAAGTGCCAGCTACTTGTATTATAATTTTGAGGATTATTATCAAACTAGGACTCACAAACCACGCTAAGAAGTCTAGACGGATGCTGTAAGTCCCCGAAGGCTTTTTCTAGCAAGAAGTGCCATCATGAGGGGCGGGACTGGGTGTCTGGAGTCATTCATCTGGTGGTTGGTGCCACAGGAAGTAAGAAAAAGTGTGAGAGGAAGAAAATCTGGGTCAGTTCCCATGTAGTTTCATTTAACTGGGCTTCTCGAGAAAGACGTGATTCTTGACTTGTTTCTTTTGTCCTAAGGATGGTTAGCCCTGTGCCATTGGTGCCATGGAGCCTAAAAGCCTTGGCAGGAAAAGACGGACTGTCTTTAGGGCTGCCCTTTGCACGAAAACAAGATGGATGGACCTGGGGGGCTTGGGTCTGCACCTTTGTATCATACGGAGGCCTTTGCGACAGCCAGAAGAGTCGAAGACTTGAACTTTCTATTTCCCTCACAGTTAATACCTTCATTTAGGTTTAATTATTTGAGGTCCCTGAAATTAAATTAATCTCAGGTGAAAGACATTGGGAGTTGGGCATGGAGTAGATGCCCTTTTCTGTGTGTGAAGTTCATTGGCTCTTGCAGAAGAAAGAAAGGAAAAGCTTAAGAATGATTTTTTTTTTCATTTGATACTGAGCCAAATATATTTATTTGGGTTAAAATGTGTAACTCCCAGAACTGATAGAAAATTCACCAGGCTGAGCACGCCTCATGCGTGGCTTACTGTAGAAACATTAATGCCACAGGAAAACTGTTATTTGGACTAATTCTCTTTCTAAGAGCAGTTGCTATAACGTGAGGGAGGCAAGTGGTTTACAAAAGCACTAGGCAATCTTGTTTTCGCCCTTGCTTGAGCAGCACCCGCATAGTAGAAATCTTTCTCTCACATTTAGAGAGAGGAATGCGGTAGGACTCAACTGGGCAGGGGATGGAGGAAAAAAAGAACACAAACAGCTCTTTGGATGAAAGTTAGGTTTTTCAAAAGCCCCGTCGATTCGAATCTTGGGATGTTACAGAGAGCCAGACGCGTGGCTGGAAGCAGTCAGCCCTCGCTGTCATGGCTGGGTCCAGGACTGTGCTATCTGATGCCTGTTCTCTTCAGGCCACAACTGCTAAGTTGAAGAGCATGAGAGCCACACTGGCCATCTGACTCCAAGGGGTCAAGCCATGGCTGGAGCTGGCAGGATGGGTTCCTAGAACCTCACAAGGTGACTGCATGCTGGGGAAGTCGATACAGTTTTTGTGCTTGTCCTGGGCTCCAGAGCTTCTGAATCCCATCCTTATCTCTCCACCCAGAGTGTTGTGCTCATGCCCACAGCCTGGTGCACTGAGCCAGACCCAGAGACAGTAATAGCTCCCAGGGCCCACCTGGAGAGAGAGAACATGAGCTGGCTATGAAACCAGGGAGCTGCTTTCATGGCTGCTTTTTATTTTTTGCCCTGGGATGCCTCTGGCTGGGCTGGGGGACAAGGCTGCTGGGCCCCCTATGCCTACTTGATCCACACCTGCTTTCCTATTATCTGTCTGCCATACTGGGAGTCGACCTAAGAGCTGGTTGAAAATTTTTGGAAATCCTTCTTGTCACTGAAAGAAGTAAATATCTGTGGTGAAGTTTTTCTCAATTTTGAAATAAAATTATTCTTCCTAATTAAAGAAGTAATATGTACATAAGACACAGACTCTTAGAAAAATAGTGAAGATAGGAGAAGAAAAAAAAATCCAATTATTCAAAAAAGACTACCACGGTTCATATTCTAACTTCTTTTCCTGTTCCTATTTTTATACGGTTCAGATGGTACTACATTAACCAGTGCTTTTATTCATGATTATTTTTTACTTAAGGTAATTTCTTTTTTTTTTTTTAAGATTTTTTTTTTTTTTTTTTTTTATTAGAGAGAAAGAGAGAACAAACAGGAGGAGCCACAGGCAGAGGGAGAGGGAGAGGGAGGCAGATTCCCCACTGAGCAAGGAACCTGATGCAGGGCTCGAGCCCAGGACCCTAGGATCATGATCTGAGCTGAAGGCAGATGCTTAACCAACTGAGCCACCCAGAGGGCCCCAACTTAAGATGATTTCAAAAGCATCTGTGATATGGATGTTCTTACTTACTTACTGTTTTTTTCTGACACTTACTGCTATTATAAACAACTTCATACATAAAGCTTTCTCAAATTTTGGATTTCTTCTAAGGATTAAGTCTTAATAGTAGCATTATAAATTTAAACATCTGGGTTATTTATTTACTCATTTATGTATTTATTTTATCAAAGTATACTTGACACATATTACATTACTTTCAGGTGTACAGCACAAGTACTTGTGATTTCACGAGTCTATATGTTATCCGGGGCTCACCACCATTGTAGCCCCCATCTGTCCCCATACAACCTTATTACGAAACTATTGACCATATTCCCTGTGCTGTACCTTTCATCACTGTTACTTATCCATCCCATAACTGGAAGTCTGTACCTCTCACTCCCCTTCACCCATTCTGCTCATCCCCCACGTCCTCCCCTCTGGGGACCATCAGTTTGTTCTCTGTATTTATGGGTCTGTTTCTGCTTTTTGTTTGTTTGTTTATTCCTTTGGTTTTTCAAACATCTGGTTCTTTTACAGGTCTTTGGAACATAACACAAAATTGTTTCGCAGAAGGGTGATACCGAGTGTCTTATGCACAAGACATTTATGAAGCTTCCTGTTATATCATACCTTTACCAGCGCTGGGTATTTTTATTTAAAAATTAGTAGAGTCTTATGCTCACTTTGGCAGTACATACACTAAAATTGGAAGGATACAGAGAAGATTAGCATGGCCCCAGGGCAAGGATGACATGCAAATTTGTGAAGCATTCTACATTAAAAGAAAATTAATAGCATCTTGTTTTTCTGGTTATTGGTGGATTTGAGCATTTTTATGTTTGTTATCTGGTTGTGTTTTTAGGGTGTCCTTTCTAAAAAACAATTCTGACACTTTGCTTTCCTACTTAGAAAGCCCCTGAGCCCTGCAGTGCCTACAAGTAGGATAAAGTTCCATGGAGCGTAATAGGTATGAGCCACACGTTTGAACCAGAGACATCCTTTCCCATTCCAGTTTGCCATGCAAAATCTGTGTGACCTTGGACCAGTCCCTTGATCTTCATTTTAATTCTCTCACCCACAAAAATAGGAAAAAAAATACCAATCTCCTGGAGTCATCATGAAGATTAAATACAATGTCCTTTGTAAGGAACTCTGTAAAGTATAAAATATGGCTCTAGATCAGTCATTGTCATTTCTGTCATGATAACATACAAGACCTAACATGAGGGCCTCTGGGTGGCTTAGTTGGTTAAGCCTCTGCCTTTGGCTCAGGTCATGATCTCAGGGTCCTGGGATGGGGGCTCCCTGCTCATCGGGGAGTCTGCTTCTCTTTCCCTCTCCCCTTCTTCTGCACACATGCTCTCTCTCTCTCTTTCAAATAAATAAATAAAATGTTAAAAAAAAAAAAAAGACTGGTAATGAGGCTAATAGCCAATGTGTAATGAGAGCCAACTTCCTACTTACCAGGGACGGTGCTCAGCCCTTTACATGTATGAACTCACACTAACCTCACAGCAGCATGTGAGGGAGATATCATTATGTTACTTTAATAGATAAGGAGACTGAGGCACAGAGATGAAGTCACTTGCCCAAAATTATACCACTGGGAAACAGTCAAGCTGGAGCTCGAACACTGAACACTGTGCCCCATCCTTTCTCTCAGGTCTCCTCATCCCTGAGCCACATGAAACTATAAGGGCCTTCCCTCACACACCATACCCTTTCATCCCTGTGCCTTGGCTCATGCTCATCCCCTTCATGAAGAGGTCTCTCCACCCCTTACCTTAAAACCACTGTTCACCCTTTATTGTCTGACTTAAATGTCCTCTGCTCTGGGGGGAAATCCGCCTCCCCTCACCTGGGTGGTGTTCCACGGTCACTTACACATTTACCCCTAAATTGCTTAGCCCACAGTCTACGTCTTGTGTGTCCACATGTGTGTGTGCCTTTGTGTTTTGCTTGTAGGTATAGCTCCCCATCTAGAGTGTGGACATCTAGTAGGCTTCAGTTTCTTTTTCCATGGACCCTAATTCTGAGCATGATGCCTAAGACCTAGGAGGTGCCCAGCATCTACTTGTTGCATGAGTGAACAAATGGTGATCATTCTGGCATAGTGAGGGGTGAACAGAGGCGAGAACTGGGAGTTTTGGGGCTTTCAGGAGGCTTTCCTGCAATCTCTCCTCCCTGGGTTCTGCCTAGGACTAGTCCTGTAATAAAATCGGGTCTTCCTTTTATACTGGCCATTGACCCCAGCTGACATTCCATGTGGTCCCCAGCTACACTCCCAGATCACCCAGAGAGCTGCAGCCACACACTTGGGGGTTTGCATTCCTGCTGGTGGTGCAGGGGGCTGGGCTGCTTCTTATCAGCTGGGCTTGCACTTGATGTCCATAGGCAGCCAGACGAGACACATCAGCACATGCGTTGGCCCCAGAGAACCAGCCCTTTTCGAACTTGCTTGTTGGCAGGGGCAGATGGCCAGAGGCAAAGGCACCAGAGGTGATGCAGAGCAGGCTGCAAAGTGTTTGTGGACAAAGGGAAGGACAGAACTCAGCTCCTGGGGTTTTCAGGCAAGCTGGAACAGTGAGTGTAGTATGTACATGGAGGGAAACTCAGAACTAAATGTATGAGGTCAATATTTTAACACATTGTATTAGCTTCCCATTGTTGCTATAACAAATGAACCCAACCTTGGTAGCTTAAGATAGCACGCATTTGTTCTTTTGCAATAATACTAGAGGCTAGAAGTCTGAAATGAGTCTCAGTGACCCCAAATCAAGGCATCACCAGGGCCGTGTTCCCTCGGGAAGCTGTAAGCGATGACTATTTGCTTGACTTTCCCAGCTTCTGGAGGCTATCCTCATTCCTGGGCTTGTGGCTTTACGTCACCTCACCTTTTCTCTCCCTGATTCTATCATCACATCCCCTTCTCCCTCTTCTGTTCCAAATGTCCCTCTGCCTCCTTCTGATAAGGACACTGGTCATTGCATATGTTTGCCAGCTCCCACCCTGTACCAGGCTCTGTACCAGGTCCTGTACCAGGCTCTGTGGTATAAAGGTGGCACAATCTCCTCTATGGGCCTGGAAGGGGAGGCAGGTTGAAGAGCAATGGCCGGCCATGTGAGCCTACTGTGACAAATGCCACAGGAGAGGCTTGCCAGCAACGGGAACAGGCTGTCGCTCCTGATGACAGATGACAGAAGGGGTCACAGGGCAGTGAATCCCCTGAGTTTATTCTGAGTGGATGAAAAATTTTCCAGGGAGACAGCGTGTGGGGAGACAAGAGTCAGAGCAAAGGGAGGAGCGGGGGACTGTTGCAACAGCATAGGTGCATTTGAAACCTCTAAAGTGAGAGAATGGGGAGAGCTTATCCACATATCTGATTTTCTGTGATTCTGTAGCTCCCCTTGTCCAAGTGGAGATGCTCCGATGTGCTCAGCTCTGGACCACCCTTGGCCCCATCCTGCGCTCCCGTGGCCTTGCTGCTCACAAGAGCATCTTTTCACTTTCTGCCTCCAGCTCCTTTCCACATAGGACTGCTTGGGAGATGGGCACAATCTCTCTCTTCTCTCCTTCCAGGTGTGCCCATGCACTAAGCCTCCTTGGCATCGGTTCCTCCAGAGCATGCCTCCTGGTTCCCCGTGCAAGCCCAATAATGCCTGACTCCCAGCAGACAACTCAGTCTGCACAGCAGGTGCAAGCTCAGATCCTCTGGTTCTGTGGGATGATTCCATTGAAAAGCTCACAGGCAAAATTTTTGTAGAGATTGTGAACATTTGACAGTGAGGACTGAGGAAGGCCCAGGGCCCGAGTGGAAGCAAGCATGCAACACTGGGCTTGCAGAGTGATGCATCTCCTCCCTCCAGCAGTATTTTATCTGCTGAATTCATTGCATGGGGGCTAGAAGCTCCTTAGAAATAATGAGGACAGTCCACGCATGTCAGAGAGGAGGGGTGAGAATACATCCAGAAGCTAGCTCTCAGCAGAGACCACAGAATCTTGGATTAGAACCCACCATGGTAGAAGGAGGAGTCTGACTCAGGAACATTCTGGACTCACAATCTGAGAACTGGACGGGGAGCAGTGATTCCTGATAGAATGGGTGTCTTTTGAACTCACCCTTGAGCCACTCACCTTGGTGGTTGTTACAGAGGAGCAAAAGGTTTACAAATTAAAATAAACCTGCAATTAAAGATACAGCTTTAAGGGGCACAGACAACTAAGTGTGGGATCCCTGTAAAAGTGCAGAATATAGGACGGGGCGGGGGTGGGGGAGAAGGAAGAGGGCTCCCACCCTCAAGTGCAGAGTGATAGACACCAGTGAGGAGGCAGGGGCCCAAGGCAACGTGGGAGGTGGGAAGTAGGGGGAAGGGAGGGAGCTGGCCTGGGGGCAGAGCACAGCAGCCAGTGGTGGTGGTGGGAGGGGTGTGGTAAGGACAATAAGGAAGCAACTTTATAATCCCTCCGGGGTCCCTCCCTGGACCCCACCTCTCTCCAGGCAACCCTAGTTTTTTAATAGGGTTTGTTTGGTTCTACCTTCTGTGAAGGCTTTTGAGATTCAGATGAAATCAAGGTCAAGGTGCTTTGGAAACTTTTAGGTGCTTAGCACAGGTAAAGCCAATGGAACTTATTAAGGGATTGTTCATGGGGCGTTGTATTTTCAATTTGGTGGAGAATGTGGTAGATATAAAATTTGCTTTTAATGTGAAAGCTTTTCTTTTTTTAATTTTTTGATCCAGAAACACTGGAAATTTTGATGGGATCCACGTCTCCATTCACTCACCCATTTATTCCTTCATTTATGCAACGCGCATGTGTGCTGCTCCTGCTGTGGGTGCAGGTCTGGGCTGGGTGTGGCACTGCCTGTGGGGACTTGGCTCCCGGAGTGTGTGTCCCCCCTCCTTGCCAGGGTCTGCCTCACCAGGACTCCCTCCCAACAGAGAGTTGGGGGCTGCCAGGAGGGCAGGGCCTGGCCTAACAGGGTATCATAGAAAGGGCGTCTCTTTCAGGCCCCTGGTGCCAAGGGTGTCAGACCTGGTGAAATGCGGCCTGGGGCCGAACTGCGCCTTTTAAGGGCTGCTGACAGCCGTCGTTAGCTAGCATTAGGACAGGAGCTGTGATAATCTCTGCTGAGTGACTGTAAACACCGAGCGTCCCTGAAGAATATTCAGAGCATCGGGCAACTTGTTAGCTTTTGTCTGGGCTGGGGAGAGGAAAGGAAGTTCCGTCGGAGAGAGAATTTACCATAGTAAAAACAGAAAATCAATCGTATGGTTCTAATTTAATTTTAATTCACATTTTTATACGTGGAGTTTGTTCGAAGGGCTGACGTTTTGCTGTGAAAATCTATAAGGGCTGAATTGTCCTCGAATTAGAAGATTTTTAAAAGAAGTTCTTTGCCACTGGGTTGCAATTTGTTAAAACAAACAATAGCATAACCGCGCTGCAATCGGATGCCAAGATATTACTGGACTCAGCGAAAATCAAGTAATCTTTTTTAGGTTCTATTCTCTCCCAGCTAAGCTCCCCAGCAACGTCAGGAAATGACAAATTGCAGGATGAATCTAAGAGCAGTGCCTTCAAAAATACAATAGTTATACAAGCCATCTATTGTTAATGAAGAATATAATGCAATTTGCCTGTCTGCAATACAATTATGCAAATCAAAGGAGAAACTATCCCGAAATCTCTTTACATTCCGATTAAAATGAGATAATTTATCAAACAGAATATTACTGATTATGTTTATGTGTTGCACATTAATCCTGTTACAATAATGTAT